TCGATTGTCCATAGTGTAGTTTTTGTACGTTTGTTTCTCTTCGGAAACCGAATCTTCATGCGTGAAACTTTGTGTGCTGTTTCCAGTGATCACAACTGACATATTCATGTTAGGAAAGAATGCAAGAATTTTCCGCGAAGGATTCCTTTAATGAATATACAAAAATATCTGGAAAATTACAAAACACTTCCCAATAACGTCCTTATTTTTATTTTTTGACTAACGCCTCGGTTGCGCGCACGATCACTTCATATGGTGGCTTAATCGTTATGGCGTAAGGTACCCAATGTTTTTGATTCGCTCCGTCTACCATGACTTTCTTTGATCGCTATCTCGACTTCTTCCCCCTTTTTCAAGGTTGAGTGTTCCATAAGCGCCTATTGATTTTTTCTTCAACGGTACCGTCCGATCGAAGGTTGCGTGTACACCTTCACAGACTTTTCTTCGTACTTCGCATTTGTCGCCACTCGAACTTGGGCATCGCCCTAGTCTCTTCTTCTTGGGATTTCATGGGCCACGTTATGGATTTCGAATGAATACCATCCTTTCAAAAATGCCTCTATTGCGGTTGGTAGAGTTCATCTTATTCCGCTGCTCGCACTAATCCATTATCCACTTTTTTTTACATGAGGGAACGAGACTATTTATGAAAGAAATTGTTTTCAACACCACTCATTTCTATGTATGCTCCATCCACAGTAGCAGGGTATCAACCTGGCTCATTAAACTCGTATGTGTTGGCCCATACCTAGTCCATCTGCTTGTCACCTTTGCTCCTAGTAATGTTCCTATGTAATACTGAGTGAATGACAGACTATCCGGTTCAGAACCATATATTTCTATATATGGCAGTGATAACATCTTTTTAAAGAAATCAAGAAATCAGTGCACAGGAAACGTAAAACGGTGGTATGGCTTCGATGTCACTATATTTGGTCCATTTTTGGGAAACCTTCCTCTCTAGGTATGGGTTTTTTGATGATCTCTGTGCCGAGTACAGACCAGATGCCGCGCAACAACACCGGTTTATTTCGATTCCTAATTTTCTTTCTCTGCCTTGAGAACTGAAGCGATTTTTCGAGGTAAAGCAGTTAGCAGCTATCCATCTTAAAGTTTATTTGTAGATCAAATGCATCATAGTTTAGATAAGGTCTTCACGGTGCACTGTTTTTTTTTGCATCTCTTTCTCACTCACCTTGTTATCGAATAGTGCTGAATTCTATTACGCCGTGCGGCCAAAAAATGCTCTCCGCATATCAAGTATCATACTGGCATTGTGACTTCGTAACTGCATCTGGAAAGCAAGAGCTCATTTGAATACAATTCCTACTGAGCCAAGATACCTGGTCCTGGTATTCCTCTTCCATGGCTTTTTCATATTGTCTTAGACTTGAATGTATATCATAAACTGAGCAGAATATTATACTGAAATATTTTATCATGGGATCTCACAACATTACTATATGGGGCCCTGATGCACCTACAAGATGGAATGTGACACCTCAGTCAAGGGTTTCTAAGTGAAACGGCTTTGTTTCGTTACTCGCAGAAAGGGTTTATACATTGGCCTTTTCTTCTCTGCTCCATGAGCGTGACTCATGATTTTGAGTGGTGAAATTCACTGGGGTTGGGGGGAGGGGCATAATGCACGTAACTTTTTTTTCGTAACTAGGGGGTTATGTATATTTCTGAAGATTTATGTGAACAAAAAATATATAGCTTTTAATGAAAATGAGCAATATTGCGCTATCGCAAGATACTGGAGCATCCTCCAGGACAAAGCCTAGGAGGAAACAGGCATTTGGGAAAATGGAAATAGCTTACGCACCTTGAAGTCACTCGTCCCCATCCAAAGTTCAAGTTTTTGTTTTCATTTCTAGAAGGGCTTTAAGAGAAAGGAGATGTTTGGGGTTTCTAGCACATACCACTACAGTGCCCCTGTGTCTTGCCATAAGCCGAGTAATAGTTTATTCAGACTAGCTTTTCCGGATTTGCGGCATGACTGTGTTAGGATGTCATTCATTCATTAGTTCCTGTTGCTAGTTTTTAGGCTCTATTATCTATTGTGTCGCTACACTAGAAGTAGTCACATCAACATTTATCTCTTTCTTCTTCGTTCAGCTAGTATTTCTATTTCAGAAAAGGCTATATTCGATGCTAAAAACAAGCAATGGATACGACCGTAGAGTAGAACTGCCTTTTCACTGGAAGAGAGTTAGCAGGCTCCTATGCAGCGTCAAAAGGGTCTAAATACTAACAGACATGAAACTCGTCAGTATGTGACTGATGGGGCTTTTGTTAGTCCTTCAACCTTTTGCTACCCCCGGAGTCGTTCTGGAAACACCTGTATGGACGGGATGTTCTACCTGGATGGCATTTAAGGTCGAGCCGTGCTTTTTGAAAAGTTTTTTTTTACATGATGCAGAGAAATGCATCGAACACGTAACTGAGCTTGTTTTTCTGAGCAGCCCTCTGAATTCCAAAAAGGGTCGAAAAACCTAAGCTCCACATTATTTTGACACCGTCTTAGGCAAAAACCTCATACGAAATACTGATGGTGTCCATTACTAGCTGCAGTACCATTCTGCAACATCATGCGAGCATGAGTGAAAAGTCATGAGGAGAAATTGATCCATGAACCAACCCTTTGTCCTCTCCTGGTGTTCGGAGGGTCGCTCAGGAAAAATGGGGCATGTCATGTTCTATGCACTTGTCTGTACATAATGCAAATAAACGTTATGAAACAGCGGGGCATTACCTCGCAGACCTCTTCGTGGGTGTAGAAAGTAACATCGGGTGTAGTTCCATAGGGCAAAAGCGATTTTTTCGCTTTCTGCAGCACGAAACTTTTATCGCTGAGGGGACCCCAGGCCCAGTTATGGTCACGGTGGACCTGAGGTGGGTGCGTTGAAATTCTCCTTCCTGTGGTCAGGTCACCTCAGGAACGACACCTCTAATTTGTTTGTAATAAGCTTAGGATTACGTCATCCCAACCAAAGGCTTCAGTATACCAAGGTGTAATTAAGAGCCTGAGCCTGAGCTCAAGCTTAAGCCTGACCGTAGGCTTCAATTACCGCAAAGCTCTGGTGACCTGATTTCGGGAGGAAAATTGTACGGCGCCCTTCTACACCGAGCGCGTAGTAATAAGAACATGAGAATAAAAGCTTGAAATGTGCATCCGAGAACAAGAATAGGAAAAAGAGTAAAAAGTTGAATTCATCCTCAGTTTTGGGTATATCACAGACCAAACCTTTCAGAACAGTTTGATGGAAGCAAAAGGGTAAATTACTATGCAACCTAGTCCGTCACATGTTCACGAGTTCCATATGTGAAATTTGAATTTGCAGATTGTAGGAGGCTGCGATGTTCTCTTAGTGAGAATGATAATGCTACTCTCAAACTGACCCCTTTGTTTTGCTGCTCGAAGCATCGATAAGATAAAATTCTGGAGTGGTTGAGAGAGGAAGTGGGGGTGCTCAGTGGTACGTCAATAGCGAAAAAGAGCTGAGAAATTCATCAAGAATAACCCCTTTGATTGCCCGTTTCATTTTCGACCATGAATGAGCGACGACAAAGAAAGAAGTTGTTCGGACGTGTTAACCCCGATAGCCGCCATCATGCCAACAAGCATAGTGTTTTGATTGATAAGGCATTACATGGGCAAGTTGGAAGATACAGCCGCTAAAGGGAAATGATCTCCAAATGAAAAAAAAACAACAGCAAACAGCTCGCCCAAGTCACCAACTGAACTAGTGGGCGTAACGCTTTCGGGGCGGAGTGCTTCGGAAGTCCTGCTCAGCAACCAGGGCACCTTTCGTCGTGAAAGCGCCACACTTCGCTTCCTTGGCAGCCAAGTAACTCTCTTCGTATGGCGTGTATACATTTTGTTGAACTAAAAATCATAGTGGAACAATAAAAGGGAGAGAATATTGTTTGTATCGCCGAAGGAGTGGGCATTTGATTATGGAGAGAATCTGGCAAGAAAGAAGTTAGATTAGAGAATCAGTGGTGCCTCAGTACAAAACCATTTTGCGATCTAGATATTCTGCTCAAAACAGGTGATTGCCATGATTTCTTTACTTGTCCCTATAAATTTAAAAGAATGTGACATGGAATCCACATGATGTTGCAAAAAAGAGATGCTCACACTTTTGCTTTCTCCGTCTATATTACTACTTAGAACCAAGTATCTTACTCATGGAGTGTAGCGCAGATGAAAAAATGAAAGTTTTTTATAACTCCACACACTGTCTGTCCTCCTTTATGCATATCAACTGCCTTGCTCTACTACATGTTCCATGTCCTGCCGCCTTATAAGTGCACCTATGCTTTCTAATGCTGACACCCTTGATGTGTATGTTAGTTCTTGGGGAGGAATAAATTTCAAAAAATGAGGGATAATCTATTGAAATTCTGAAAGAAAATGAGATCAGCTGTGATTCAGTCGATTCAGAATCAAATATTTTCGGTCATGGAGTCTGGAAAGCTTACGCTATTATCATGCCTTAATTGAAATCGTGGCTCTTAGTGCTGGCATCTTACTAAACGTGATAAAAGCGAAGATATTGTATCGAGTGTGCTCTACTAGAAAGTGTTGTCTTGAACAGTTAGGGCGACATATATGATATAAAAACATGCGTTTCATTATCTCCTGTTGCATCTGGTGCTTCGTTTTCGATTTTTTTTAAATGATTAGGTATCGTTCTGATGATGATGAACTTATGTAACCCAAATTCAGGTGTGTTTTCTCTGTTTTTCTCTTACGTAAACCATGTTCTAGCGACACAGCTGCCCGCCTGAAGCCTCCACCTCTCGATATCAGCTACGTCAACACTAAGAACAATGTAAGTTTGAAAGCTTGTCTTTTTGCTAACGTGTAATTTTTAGACGACTTTATAGGTATGATGTGATTAGAGATAGAGATGTTTGCTCAAATTCTTCTTAAAAAAAGTCAAGCTTTCTCTGTACTGTAGCTTTTCGGCTGAATGATTGATTTTCAGATGATAAAAGCGGAAAGGAGGCTGCTGGCAACGTTAGGATTTGTCGTTCACGTGAAGCATCCGCATAAGTTGATATGTGCATATTGTTATGTTTTACGTGCGCATCATCGTACTGACCTTATCCAGAGAGCATGGTAAGTTAATTTCACATATTGAGAAAATCCGAAAGCGCTAAGGTTTATTTCAGGACGTATATGAACGATGGATTGAGAACGGACATGTTTGTGCGGTATTCACCAGAGACTATTGCGTGCGCTTGTATTTTTCTAGCTTCTCGAACAGTTCAGCCACAAGTACCGCTCCCTGACAAACCTAGGAATTGGTAGGTGGAATGAACTGGCCAATGATTTCTTTCCAATTTTTCACTACCTATCTGTAGTTATTGTAACACTGCAAGATATGTTCAGGTATGAGCTTTTTGATGCGTCAGATACTGATGTACACACGATAGCTATGATGCTCTTGAATATGTATGCCAACCAAAAGGTGTGGTTGTTTTCATAAGTGAAAATGTAGCTGTCAAAAAATGTGCTATTCTTGTTTGCAATTTCTGCCATACAGGCTGTCAGCTGGAGAGAAATGGACGAAAAAATCGAGAAATTGCGGTCAAAGATTGAGGCTGAACAGAAGGCTGCGAAAGCACAACTTGTCGCTCAGAAGCTCGCCGTCGAAAAGAAGAAAGCTGATGAAGGTAAATCTACATTCCTATTATATTTCCCGTTCCCATTTTTAGCATGTCGATTTTATGTATTAGTGGTAACTGTTCCACTTGTTCCCTAACAATGATGTTCTCTAGACTCCGATCGAGAAGATGTGAAGAAACGTCGAGGTAAAAGCCGTAGCCGATCACGTACAAAGTCTCGATCTAGGAGTCCAAGACGGTATGTTTCACCATTAAGTACTGCTTTCGATCTTTTCAGCTCCTTGTATTTTACGTGTGAGGATGTTGCAATTTGAATGCCTTTTTGATTAAACATAGACTTTGTCAACCGTCTAAGGCGGGGCACTCCTTTTCCATTCCTTATATCAGGCTTCGCCATTCATTTGCTTTTCAAATTATGTAGGAGGTAGAGTAATAAATGCCCTATTCTTCATTTCTGGCGGTATCTTTCCATCGAGAAATCAAAACAGCAGCACTACAGCAACTCATCTTTTTCTGTCTTCGAGCCTGAACTTCAAAAAAAGTCGTTCCTAGAATTGATAGGTTTCTTGAGCACACTCTAAAAGTATTCTTTTACAAAGTTTAATAGGTTGTTTGTCTCTTGGTGACTGTTGTACATATAATAGTAACAAGTATTTCGATACTGCAGCGTTCATGATTGACAGGTTTTTTTTTGAATATGTTCAAAACATTTGAACGAAAGAATCTTTGGAAGAAACCAGCAATTTAGCCGCTTATCACCGCTACTTATCGAACTGTAGTTGTGCTTTCGGTTGTGTAGGTTATAATTTGGCACGACAACTTTGAAAAACAAACTGACATTTTGAGGGGTTTGAACAGATTCGAAAAAAAAACAGATTATGAATGTGCGTTTCGAGAACGATGTTGGGCCTATCGCCCACTCCGCATTTATGATTAACAATTTTACGTGCCCTTGGATTGTTTTTTATCGTACTAAATTTCTCCTTGTTCTTTTTTTCTTTTCCTCCTTTTTTCATTTAATTTCTTTCTTCAGGACCAAGTACTCGCCTATTAGACGAAGGCGTGATTCACCTGAGAAAAATGGAAGGAATAAAGGTCGAGGGGGAAAAGGTGGCCGGGAGGATAGACGTGACAGAGAAAGACGAGATGAAAGACGGGAAGACAAGCGGAGGCGAAGTAGGAGCCGAAGTAAAAGCCGAGATCGATATTCAGATCGCGACCGGGTAAAGGTATGTGAAGGTCTATGGTTAGTACCTCGTTAAAACAACATTTCATTCTTTGCCACGTACCACATTATCCGACAAGTAAAGCTTTTTTTGAATTGAAGTTCTTCCTGTTACTGGAAGGTTCCATGCTTCCACATAATCCTATATCCGCTGTAATGCAAGATCGTGGGTGGTAAGTAGCCAGCTTAGCATTTAACTCAAACTCGATGCTACTCCGTAAGAAATCAATTTTACTGATGTATCTGTGCTGAGTCACAATCTCAACCTAACAATACAATTGGATTTGTCCAACAAACTGTTCTTTTTTTTTAAAAGTTGGTTACTTAGCAAGAGTTCAATGGCTGACCACTCTTTCGTCGAATCTATTCGGTTGACCCATAATTTCTGCCGATTTTGATTCAAATTCAAATTTCAATATGTCAAATTAAGTTCATGTCGAAACATCAGGACCTTCAGCCAGGATGTTTCAGAAGCTCAAATGCGCAACGGGATAATTAAGTAGGAATCAAAATAGATCAACGACCAAACCCAACCATTATGCCTTACGACAATTTTAAGAAGAACCTTGCAAGGAGCGCGGTAGGCAAGATCAGCGCTACGTTTGCCCCAGTCTTTGCTACTGATCGGGCACTGAGCTATTGGCTCAATAGCATCGGCAAATACGATAGGAGCTGCAAAGTTCGACCTCATCATGGACCTCCAGTCACTTTCGATGAGGACCCCTTGCGCAACGAATAGGAAGTGCATCCGACGCTATTAGCAGGAAACTGTAGCAAACACCTGGACGCAGCCTACGCTCCATGAGTCGACACCTGAAAAGGGGCTGTAGCAGAATGGAGACTCGATGGAAACAGCATGCATCGACTGACCATGACCGAGAAGCACGCCTGACCATCTGCAGAAGTTTCATTCTTCGACCATATAGACACGACATTCCCTAGTTGGTCACTAGTGCAGATGAGTCATGAGTCCACCACGATAACACACAGCACGCCTTGTGGCTACCTCGCAGCCTGGACTCACCATCTCGACCAAAGCATGAGCTCTCTCATCAGAGGATATTACCCCCGGTTCGTTGGATTCGCTGGGTATCCTGTTTTGGGAACCATTTCACTTTATGCAGACAAGCATTGCGAAGGTAACCATGGAATAGCTCCCGAAGTTGGCCGCAGCAGTGCGGAGAACGGTTCGAAACGTCTCAAAATCTCCTTTCTCCGAAGGACCGCCCGAAATCACATTGCAAAGATAACTCGCCACGTTTCGAGGGAAACTGGCTGGACCACGACACCACATCTGTCGTATAGCCCTGACATTGCTCCATCGTACTATCACCTCCCCAGCTCCCTGAAGCAGCAGCTAGGAGAGAAAAAAGTCAGTAAATACAACCACCCCAAAAACGACCTCTCCGAGCTTTTCATCTCACAGCTTCTCTCGTTCTGGGAGGAATGCATCCATTCGTTCCCTAGCAAATGGATGCATATCAGTGATTATGATGGTGGTTACTTTTTT